GGACCATCTCGTGTGTAAGCGTGTGGTATATATCTGAAAATCGATCAAATCCTGAATAGTATTGATGCTGATCTCCTTTCTTGAGGCCCAAAAAATGCAGAACAGTAACAACCCCCTCCCCCAAATAACCCCTTTTTGGAAAGCAGAAAGTCCGAGGTATTTAGTAAGAAGCATGGCAATTTTTTTTTTTAAGTTGTCATCTTTTGTCATTTTTTGTTTTTTTTTTTTTGAAAAATGAAGAAATTAAAAGTTTCACAGTTTTAAAATTAAAAAAATAAAAATTTTATTTATTTTTTATTTTTTTTACGATTTTTTTTATTTTTTGTTAACATTTTGTGACCAGAGCAATACAGTATTACCATAGTAACACTTTACCACTCTGGGGAGGTGATCAGGATTTTTTTTTTCCACAATGATTGCTTATAATGGTAAATGTCACTGTTATAAGCAACACTTTTTCTTGAATGAAATCTATTCATTCAGTAATTTCTGTTGGCCACAGCTAATCACATGATACAGATGTGCTGTACCATGTGACCCAGATGGGCTGTGCCCCGTCTGTGCCATGTGATCCAGATGGGCGGTGCCCCGTCTGTGCCATGTGATCCAGATGGGCGGTGCCCCGTCTGTGCCATGTGACCCAGATGGGCTGTACCATGTGACCCAGATGGGCTGTGCCCCGTCTGTGCCATGTGATCCAGATGGGCTGTGCCCCGTCTGTGCCATCATGTGATCCAGATGGGCTGTGCCCTGTCTGTACCATGTGATCACCGTGACCAATCAGCACAATAGTACACAATGAATGGAAGCCATCCGCTGTGTACAATGCATTTATTTCAGGTACTTATATAGTGCCGTCAATTTACGGAGCACTTTACATATATATTGTACATTCACATCAGTCCCTAACCCTCAAGGGGTGTACAATCTAAGGTCCCTAACCCTCAAGGGGTGTACAATCTAAGGTCCCTAACTCACATTCATACATACACATACTAGACAGGAACCAATTAACCTACCAGCATGTCTTTGGAGTGTGGGAGGAAACTGGAGTATCCAGAGGAAACCCACGCAGGCACAGGGAGAACATGCATTTGTCATGTGATCTGCTATGATTGGTCGCAGTGATCACATGGTACTGGCAGCAGCCCGGCACACTGACCTGTCATCCACTGTGGAGACAGCAGGCGACAGATTGTGCTGCCGCGCGGTCATATGACGTCCACCCCCCGAATGGTGAATGTCCCGCCCACATTTTACTATCAGCCAGGCGGGAAGGTGTTAATATCACGGGGCTAGAGGGATGGGATTTTGGCGGGTTCAGCAGCAACCGGCTACATGCAGCAGTTCCCGTTAATGAGAAGTCAATCTATTGACCGCTTTTTATTTATTTTTTTTTCTCTATGAAGGGGCTTGTTGGAGAATCTCGATCAGCAGCGAGGATTTCCCCACTCACCTTGAATGTGTGGATGGGGAAATTTGCTCTGTTTTTTTTTTTTTTTTTTTTTTCTGTTCGAAAAATGTCATGTATGGCCGGCTTTATCCTACGGCGGGAGGGGTGTGTACACAAGGAAAGTCCATCAGTCATGAACGACTTCATAACGTCAGGTGGAATGGGAAAGTTACTTCCTGTCTAACCGGCTCTCCTAGCACCTCGGCTCGTTGGTCTAGGGGTATGATTCTCGCTTTGGGTGCGAGAGGTCCCGGGTTCAAATCCCGGACGAGCCCAGCTTTTGATTTCATATCTTTTTTTTAAGTCACCAGTTGTAGGAAATCAGTGAATCGATTCACATAGATGACCGATTTGTAAGATGTGACTTGCCTGGCCTATCAGTACTGTATGTATAGACGTGGGTCAGACGTGACATAGGCGGCCTCTGTGTTAGGATGACACTTGTAGTCCCAAATCCCTGGTATCAGGAAGAAGCGCTCCCCGGGCAGTCCAGTTTATACAATGTGTATGAATGATGGAGCCGGGGGCGGACTGACCATTTGAGCACTTGGGCACTGCCCGGGGCCCGGGGTCAGTAGGGGGCCCCATGAAATTCCCTGGTACATTTTTTATAGGCTTTTTTGAGTGTGGGGCCTCAAGATCCCCTATTGCCCGGGGGCCCCATGAGTTGTCAGTCCGCCCCTGTGATGGAGTGTGATGATCCGCAAACTTTTATCTGCTCACATTTTGCCTTTTCATGCTATTTTAGGGCCGGTTCACACGACATGCGTTTTCAGTTGCTTTTTTTTCTGCATCAGAAAAAACGCACAGAAAGTAGGTGATATGGTGGTCAATGTCATAGTTCACATCGGCGCTTGCAGTTCCGGAGCGTTCCAGGTGCAGAGAAAAAAACAACAGGCTGCATTTTTTTTCTGCACAGAACTGTAGTGTAACGCGTTAAAACGCACATGTCCCTATTTAAATTGAAAAAAAAGAGAGGGGAAAATGAACTTGAATGCATAAAAAACGCACCGGAACGCGCTAAAAGCGCACCGGAACACACGTGTCCTATTTAAATTGAAAAAAAAGAGGGGAAATAATAAACTATAATGCATAAACGCACTGGAACGCGCCAAAACGCACTGCAACAAACGTCCCTATTCAAATTGAAAAAAAAGAGAGTGGAAAAAATGAATTGGAATGCATAAAAAATGTACTGGAACACGCCAAAAAAGCACCGGAACTCACGTCCCTATTTAAATTGAATAGAGAGGGGGAAAAATGAGCTGGAATGCATAAAAAACGCACTGGAACGTGACAAAAACACACTGCAATGCACGTCATTTAAATTGAAGAAAAAGAGGGGGAAAAAATTAATTGGAATGCATAAAGTATGACTTTTATGGAACTTTTTTTTTTTTTTTTTGTTTGTTTTTTGCCAGTAGGAAAGTATTGATTTGGATGGGTGTGACTTTGATGACTTTTTTTTTTTTTTTTTGCCAATAAGAAAGTATTGATTTGGATGCAGCTTAGGATGGGTGTGACTTTGATGTGACCTGTGTTTTTTTTTTTTTTTACCAATAGGAAAGTATTGATTTGGTTGCAGCTTTGGATGGGTGTGACTTTTATGCAACTTTTTTTTTTTTACCAATAGGAAAGTATTGATTTGGATGCAGCTTTGCATGGGTGTGACATTGATGTGACCTGTGTTTTTTTTTTTTTTACCAATAGGAAAGTATTGATTTGGTTGCAGCTTTGGATGGGTGTGACTTTTATGCAACTTTTTTTTTTTTTACCAATAGGAAAGCATTGATTTGGATGGGTGTGACTTTGATGACTTTTTTTTTTTTTTTTTGCCAATAAGAAAGTATTGATTTGGATGAAGCTTAGGATGGGTGTGACTTTTATGCAACTTTTTTTTTTTTTTTGCTAATAGGAAAGTATTGATTTGGATGGGTGTGACTTTGATTACTTTTTTTTTTTTTGTTTTGCCAGTAGGAAAGTATTGATTTGGATGCAGCTTTGCATGGGTGTGACATTGATGTGACCTGTTTTTTTTTTGTTTTTTTTTTTTTTTTTTTACCAATAGGAAAGTATTGATTTGGATGGGTGTGACTTTTATGCAACTTTTTTTTTTCTTTTTTTGCCAATAGGAAAGTATTGATTTGGATGGGTGTGACTTTGATGAATTTTTATTTTTTTTTTTGCCAATAAGAAAGTATTGATTTGGATGCAGCTTTCCATGGGTGTGACTTTGATGCGACCTGTGTGTGTTTTCTTTTTTTTTTTTTTTTTTTTTACCAATAGGAAAGTATTGATTTGGATAGGTGTGAGGTTGATTCCTTTTTTTTTTTTTGTTTTTTTGCCAATAAGAAAGTATTGATTTTGATGCAGCTTTGGATGGGTGTGACTTTGATGCAACTTTTTTTTTTTTCTTTTGCTAATAGGAAAGTATTGATTTGGATGGGTGTGAGTTTAATGACTTTTTTTTACCAATAGGAAAGTATTGACTTTGATGCAGCTTTGCATGAGTGCGACTTTGATGTGACCTTCCTTTTTTTTCTTTTTTTTTTTCTTTTTGCCAATAGGAAAGTATTGATTTGGATGGGTGTGAGTTTGATGACTTTTTTTTAGTTTTTTTTTGCCAATAGGAAAGTATTGATTCGGATGGGTGTGAGTTTGATGTCTTTTTTTTAGTTTTTTTTTGCCAATAGGAAAGTATTGATTCAGATGGGTGTGAGTTTGATGTCTTTTTTTAGTTTTTTTTTTGCCAATAGGAAAGTATTGATTCGGATGCAGCTTTGGATGGCTGTGACTTTGATGCAACTTTTTTTTTTGCTAATAGGAAAGTTTGACAGTTCTGTTCATGTAGTGTGACACTTGAATGCGACTTCCGCTCACGTCACTTCCAGTTCATCCCTATGAGTAAGTCAGATATGACGAAACATGTCAGGGTGGGACTGCGGCAACCAGAAGTGATGTGAGCTGAACTGGAAGTGACGTGAACAGCGCCATTTTGTGGAACTCGGCGGTAGTGAGAGCACTGCAGAGATTTCCGTAACTTATTTGTCTGGTTTCTTTATCCGCAATATGTTTTATAGCTTGTAAGTGGCTGTCTATTGAAGCGAATAAAGGAGCTGTTTTGTACTGCACCATTGGGCTTCTCTTGTGCTTGGTCTTTTTGTTCGACCATCTGAGAGATGATTGCAAATGAGGAAGGAGATTGGCTGTAGATCATTCTTAGCACCTTTTATAGCAATTATCAATCAATCTATGCAATGTCATCTGTGTATCTTGAAAAGATGGATATCTTGGTGAATCGGAGGAGGGGATTGTCATTGAGTGGGAGTTGATCTTCTTCTCTTTGGATGAACATCTTTAAGCGATTTAGCCAAACATGAGAATGGGAGGCACAGCTATGTGGTGAGTGCACACCCCAAAAGGGGAACAATATGTATTGTGCACACGTGGTGATTTCTCTTGGAGCCCTATAAAGGAGTAAAAGGAAATGTGAGATTGGTGAAAGGACAGTATAGTTTCCCTTCAACTAGAATGGAAACTATACTAGTCTCCCCGAACCCTGCATTCACTATATCTGCTCTCCCCGGACCCTGCATTCACTATATCCGCTCTCCCCGGACCCCGCATTCACTATATCTGCTCTCCCCGGACCCTGCATTCACTATATCCGCTCTCCCCGGACCCTGCATTCACTATATCTGGTCTACCCGAACCCTGCATTCACTATATCTGCTCTCCCCGGACCCCGCATTCACTATATCCGCTCTCCCCGGAGCCTGCATTCACTATATATCCGCTCTCCCCGGACCCTGCATTCACTATATCCGCTCTCCCCGGACCCTGCATTCACTATATCTGGTCTCCCGGACCCTGCATTCACTATATCCGCTCTCCCCGGACCCTGCATTCACTATATCTGGTCTCCCCGAACCCTGCATTCACTATATCTGCTCTCCCCGGACCCCGCATTCACTATATCCGCTCTCCCCGGAGCTGCATTCACTATATCCGCTCTCCCCCGGACCCTGCATTCACTATATCCGCTCTCTCCCCGGACCCTGCATTCACTATATCTGCTCTCCCCGGACCCTGCATTCACTATATCCGCTCTCCCCAGACCCTGCATTCACTATATCCGCTCTCCCCGGACCCTGCATTCACTATATCTGGTCTCCCCGGACCCTGCATTCACTATATCTGGTCTCCCCGGACCCTACATTCACTATATCCCCTCTCCCCGGACCCTGCATTCACTATATCTGGTCTCCCCGGACCCTGCATTCACTATATCCGCTCTCCCTGGACCCTGCATTCACTATATCTGGTCTCCCCGGACCCTGCATTCACTATATCCGGTCTCCTCGGACCCTGCATTCACTATATCCGGTCTTCCCGGACCCTGCATTCACTATATCTGGTCTCCCCGGACCCTGCATTCACACTATATCTGTTCTCCCAGGAACCTTCATTCACTATATCCGCTCTCCCCGGACCCTGCATTCACTAGATCCCGCTCTCCCCCGGACCCTGCATTCACTCTATCCGCTCTCCCCGGACCCTGCATTCACTCTATCCGCTCTCCCCGGACCCTGCATTCACTCTATCCGCTCTCCCCCCCGGACCCTGCATTCACTCTATCTCCCGCTCTCCCCGGAGCCTGCATTCACTCTATATCCGCTCTCCCCGGAGCCTGCATTCACTCTATCCGCTCTCCCCGGAGCCTGCATTCACTCTATCCGCTCTCCCCGGAGCCTGCATTCACTCTATCCGCTCTCCCCCGGAGCCTGCATTCACTCTCTCCGCTCTCCCCGGACCCTGCATTCACTATATCCGCTCTCCCCCGGACCCTGCATTCACTATATCCGGTCTCCCCGGACCCTGCATTCACTCTATCCGCTCTCCCCGGACCCTGCATTCACTCTATCCGCTCTCCCCGGAGCCTGCATTCACTCTATCCGCTCTCCCCGGAGCCCTGCATTCACTCTATCCGCTCTCCCCCCGGAGTCTGCATTCACTCTATCCGCTCTCCCCCGGACCCTGCATTCACTATATTCGGTCTCCCCGGACCCTGCATTTACTATATCCGGTCTCCCCCGGACCCTGCATTCACTCTATCCGCTCTCCCCGGAGTCTGCATTCACTCTATCCGCTCTCCCCGGACCCTGCATTCACTATATCCGGTCTCCCCGGACCCTGCATTCACTATATCTGCTCTCCCCGGACCCTGCATTCACTATATCCGGTCTCCCCGGACCCTGCATTCACTCTATCCGCTCTCCCCGGAGCCTGCATTCACTCTATCCGCTCTCCCCGGGAGCCTGCATTCACTCTATCCGCTCTCCCCCGGAGCCTGCATTCACTCTATCCGCTCTCCCCCGGAGCCTGCATTCACTCTATCCGCTCTCCCCGGAGCCTGCATTCACTCTATCCGCTCTCCCCGGAGCCTGCATTCACTCTCTCCCGCTCTCCCCGGAGCCTGCATTCACTATATCCCGCTCTCCCCGGACCCTGCATTCACTCTATCCGCTCTCCCCCGGACCCTGCATTCACTCTATCCGCTCTCCCCGGAGCCTGCATTCACTCTATCCGCTCTCCCCGGAGCCTGCATTCACTCTATCCGCTCTCCCCGGAGTCTGCATTCACTCTATCCGCTCTCCCCCGGACCCTGCATTCACTATATCCGGTCTCCCCGGACCCTGCATTTACTATATCCGGTCTCCCCCCGGACCCTGCATTCACTCTATCCGCTCTCCCCGGAGTCTGCATTCACTCTATCCGCTCTCCCCCGGACCCTGCATTCACTATATCCGGTCTCTCCCCGGACCCTGCATTCACTATATCTGCTCTCCCCGGACCCTGCATTCACTATATCCGGTCTCCCCGGACCCTGCATTCACTCTATCCGCTCTCCCCGGACCCTGCATTCACTCTATCCGCTCTCCCCGGACCCTGCATTCACTCTATCCGGTCTCCCCGGACCCTGCATTCACTATATCTGGTCTCCCCCGGACCCTGCATTCACTATATCTGGTCTCCCCGGACCCTGCATTCACTATATCTGGTCTCCCCCCGGACCCTGCATTCACTATATCCGGTCTCCCAGGACCCTGCATTCACTATATCCGGTCTCCCCGGACCCTGCATTCACTATATCCGGTCTCCCCGGACTCTTCATTCTCTTGGAGCCCTATACAAGAGTAAATGGAAATGTGAGATTTGTGAAAGGACAGTATAGTTTACCTTCAACTAGAAAATGTTGGTTGACATTACTTTGGGTGGGATGTAGGAACTAAAGTAAAAGTGGGGCTCGTCCGGGATTTGAACCCGGGACCTCTCGCACCCAAAGCGAGAATCATACCCCTAGACCAACGAGCCAGCTGATGTTGGTGGTTATGTGAGAAGTTTTCAGATGTGGGGGATTTGGGTCGTATGTATGTATGTATGTATGTAGGTAGGTAAGTACATGGAATGTGTTTGCTTGTTGCTGCACTCACCAGAGTCCCGCACAGGTACTCCATACAGAATACAGTAGTACATGTCGTCGCCTGTTACATACTCTCCTTAGAAGCAGTGTAACAAACCTTCTGCAATAGCAAAGTTCACCCCGGAGAGTAACCTGATCTGTACAGCTCTGCGTAGTCTCAGCAGATGGGACGGCTTCACTGAGGAATGAAAAAAAACTGTGATATGAATGCCGCAGCCGCCATGTTCATCCTACATTGCACAGCACAAGGCATTAGGAAGGCTTTGCTCCGCCCCTGTCCTGTTTAAAGTGATCCTAAACTTTTTTTTGTTTTTTTTTCTTTTTTATGACAAACATGTTCTACTTACCTGCTCTGTGTAGCCCCGGTCTTCTCTTTTGCTTTGGTCCCCCCACTGGCAGTCCTGGCTACTCCCCCCCGTCCTCCGTTCCCCAGCTGAGTGCCCCAATTAGCAAGGCTCTTGCTATGGGGGCACTCAAGCAGGCTCGCTCCTGTGAATGGACATTGTCCCTTCACACATAGAGCGTGGCTCGGCGTCGGCCCCTGCACTCTTCACTGGCTATGATTGACAGCAGCGGTAGCCAATGGCTCCTGCTGCTATGTAAGCCGATGAGTGTTACTAAACCCCAGACCCTGCATTCACTATATCTGGTCTCCCCGGACCCTGCATTCACTATATCTGGTCTCCCCGGACCCTGCATTCACTATATCTGGTCTCCCCGGACCCTGCATTCACTATATCCGGTCTCCCCGGACCCTGCATTCACTATATCCGGTCTCCCCGGACCCTGCATTCACTATATCCGGTCTCCCCGGACCCTGCATTCACTATATTGGGTCTCCTCGGACCCTGCATTCACTATATCCGGTATCCCCGGACCCTGCACTCACTATATCTGCTCTCTCCGGACCCTGCATTCACTATATCTGCTCGTTGCGGACCCTGCATTCACTATATTTGGTCTCCCCGGACCCTGCACTCACTATATCTGCTCTCTCCGGACCCTGCATTCACTATATCTGGTCTCCCCGGACCCTTCATTCACTATACCTGGTCTCTCCGGACCCTGCATTCACTATACTTGGTCTCCCCAGACCCTGCATTCACTATATCTGGTCTCCTCAGACCCTGCATTCACTATATCTGGTCTCCCCGGACCCTGCATTCACTATATCTGGTCTCCCCGGACCCTGCACTCACTATATCTGCTCTCCCCGGACCCTGCATTCACTATATCTGCTCTCTCCGGACCCTGCATTCACTATATCCGGTCTCCTCAGACCCTGCATTCACTATATCCGCTCTCCCTGGACCCTGCATTCACTATATATCCGGTCTCCCTGGACCCTGCATTCACTATATCCGGTCTCCCCGGACCCTGCATTCACTATATCCGGTCTCCCCGGACCCTGCATTCACTATATCCGGTCTCCCCGGACCCTGCATTCACTATATTGGGTCTCCTCGGACCCTGCATTCACTATATCCGGTATCCCCGGACCCTGCACTCACTATATCTGCTCTCTCCGGACCCTGCATTCACTATATCTGCTCGTTGCGGACCCTGCATTCACTATATTTGGTCTCCCCGGACCCTGCACTCACTATATCTGCTCTCTCCGGACCCTGCATTCACTATATCTGGTCTCCCCGGACCCTGCATTCACTATACCTGGTCTCTCCGGACCCTGCATTCACTATACTTGGTCTCCCCAGACCCTGCATTCACTATATCTGGTCTCCTCAGACCCTGCATTCACTATATCTGGGTCTCCCCGGACCCTGCATTCACTATATCTGGTCTCCCCGGACCCTGCACTCACTATATCCGCTCTCCCCGGACCCTGCATTCACTATATCTGCTCTCTCCGGACCCTGCATTCACTATATCCGGTCTCCTCAGACCCTGCATTCACTATATCCGCTCTCCCTGGACCCTGCATTCACTATATCCGGTCTCCCCTGGACCCTGCATTCACTATATCCGGTCTCCCCGGACCCTGCATTCACTATATCCGGTCTCCCCGGACCCCGCATTCACTATATCCGGTCTCCTCTGACCCTGCATTCACTATATCCGGTCTCCCCGGACTCTGCATTCACTATATCCGGTCTCCCCGGACCCTGCATTCACTATATGTGGTCTCCCCGGACCCTGCATTCACTATATCTGGTCTCCCCGGACCTTGCATTCACTATATCTTGTCTCCCCTGACCCTGCATTCACTATATTTGATCTCTCCGGACCCTGAATTCACTTCTGCCTGGCTAACCATTTATCCACTGTGCTGCCCTACATGAAGCTGATCTCTTTTTTTACATGGATATGCCATTGCTGTATATCCCGGCATCATAGGGCACTGTGGACATTCAAAAGACAGACATTAGTAGAAGCTGTTTCCTTTTAGACTATCTCTCTCTAATTGAAAGTCTAAATAGAACTTTATCAATAGGCAGGCTGAGAGTTTGCCTGGAGTTTGCATGTTCTCCCTGTGCCTGCGTTGGTTTCCTCTGGGTATTTCAGTTTCTTACCATGCTCCAAAGACATGCTGGTAGGTGAATTGGCTCCTGTCTAAATTGTCCCTAGTATGTGTATGTATGAATGTGAGTTAGGGACCTTAGATTGTACCCCCTTTGAGGGTTTCTGTGTGTGATTTGGGGTTCATTGTGCTCATGGGTGCAGCCATATTTGCTCCATACACAGGCTTTACAACTGTTTTGCTTTATTGCTCCCAATCCCAGCATGTTGGTGTGTACTGACCCTCTGACACCGTGCACTGCCTATATAGCTGAAAGGAACTATGAGCAAACCCATAAAGTCACACGTGATGCTCTTTTTCTATTGCAGTTTCACAACGGTCTCCCAGCTCCTGTCCCTGCAGAAGTCTCCATGTGTGTCCGCCCTGGGCTGGGACACCGAGCGCTTTCAGCAATGGAGACACGAGGGTTTGCAGCAGACAAAAGTGAGCCAACCTCCAGCCGTCCTCTCCAGAGCTCGCCTCCTCCTGGTGGGGGTATATATCCAACAGTCGGACAAGAGACAGCCCCAGTGTATGATGGGAACTTGTACGTCAGGGACTCCAGTGGATGCATACCTTGCGAGGTAAGTTGTATATCGAGGACAGGGCTTCTCCTCAAAGAACTGATAATATATTAGAACCCCAGAGCATCTTCAGAAAACCTGCAGCTTTTTCCTGGAAACTAGATCATGGAGGGTAACGTTTGGATCCATGTATGTAGTATGGTCAGCACTCCTCAATTCTAAAGCAAGAGAAGAGTGTCATCCATGTGAAAGAGCCCTGATTGGTTAAAGTGTCCGTGTGAAAGAGCCCTGATTGGTTAAAGTGTCCGTGTGAAAGAGCCCTGATTGGTTAAAGTGTCCGTGTGAAAGAGCCCTGATTGGTTAAAGTGTCCACGGGAAAGAGCCCTGATTGGTTAAAGTGTCCACGGGGGAAAGAGCCCTGATTGGTTAAAGTGTCCACGGGGAAAGAGCCCTGATTGGTTAAAGTGTCCACGGGGAAAGAGCCCTGATTGGTTAAAGTGTCCATGGGAAAGAGCCCTGATTGGTTAAAGTGTCCACGGGGAAAGAGCCCTGATTAGTTAATGTGTCCATGGGAAAGAGCCCTGATTGGTTAAAGTGTCCACGTGAAAGAGCCCTGATTGGTTAAAGTGTCCATGGGAAAGAGCCGTTATTGGTTGAAGTGTCCGTGTGAAAGAGCCCTGATTGGTTTAAAGTGTCCACGGGGAAAGAGCCCTGATTGGTTAAAGTGTCCCACGGGGAAAGAGCCCTGATTGGTTAAAGTGTCCACGGGGAAAGAGCCCTGATTGGTTAAAGTGTCCACGGGGAAAGAGCCCTGATTGGTTAAAGTGTCCACCGTGAAAGAGCCCTGATTGGTTAAAGTGTCCACGTGAAAGAGCCCTGATTGGTTAAAGTGTCCACGGAAAGAGCCCTCATTGGTTAAAGTGTCCACGGGAAAAGAGCCCTGATTGGTTAAAGTGTCCACGGGGAAAGAGCCCTGATTAGTTAATGTGTCCATGGGAAGAGCCCTGATTGGTTAAAGTGTCCACGGGGAAAGAGCCCTGATTGGTTAAAGTGTCCACGGGAAAGAGCCCTGATTGGTTAAAGTGTCCACGGGGAAAAGAGCCCTGATTGGTTAAAGTGTTTTCCAAAAAATGAGAAGATGAACTAGTACTATACACCCTAGCCCCCCCCCCCCCCCCCCATATCTCCACTGTACTTACCTCCGTGGGTGATGAACTGACGGTGCCCCTGCAGCCGGTGCAGCATTCTCCCTCTCCTTCCTTATATCCCTCCTCTTTCTTCAGGGTTTCCAGGACGGATCAGAGCGATTCTGATTGATGACCATCGCTCTGATCTATAAGACTACCCTGTCCACAGGGTGACAATGCCGCTCTACAATTTCCTTGTAGAATGAACTGTGTTTCCTCCTGCTTTCCTCCCTTCATGTTGCTGATCCAGATACAACATGTAGGATGTCACTTGCAGGTCCCAATGACAGTTTCCCCCCCCCGGCAAGTATGGCCGAGAAAGAATCTAACGCAGTGCGACCTGCACTGCATTCGGTTCAGTGGAGCGCAGGAGAGACATTCAGGGTTTAAAAGACTCATTAAACCAGTTCCTGTCTGGCCCCATGTAACATAAACAGCCGACGGGAGCAGTGCCGAAGCGGGTTGCCATTTATAAACAGCACCCTCATTCCCTGCCTGTTCGCGCTCCCTGGGAGCACGCGGCACCCGCAATCCGGTGCCCTGCTGTGTTTGGAGGAGGAAACAGCGGAACACCGATCGCTGTACGGGACCTCTGTGTGAGGTCCCAATTCATGTGATCACTGATTTCCTTCCTTTAGATTGTAAGCTCCACGAGCCGGGCCCTCATATTCCTTCTGTACTGAAATTTATTGTAATTGTACCGCCCCTCCTTATATTGTAAAAGCGCTGAGCAAACTGTTGGCGCCATAAATCTTGTATAATAATAATTATAATTGGCCATTGTCACTTCCTGACATCATTGCTTACTATTTGTGAAATCTGTGAATGATCACAGAGATCACATGGTACAGGGCTATTCAGAACAGCCTTGTACCATGTGACAAGCTGTGACCAATCACAGCTCTCACAGTATTTCTCAATGGCTGCAAGAATGCAGCCAAAGAGAAGGAGAAATGATTGCTTTTTACAGCCGTTATGTAAAAGCAATCAGTGTAAAAAAAAATAAAAAATCTTCATCACCCCCCCACAAGTAGTACAGTGTCACTATGGTGACACTGTACTGCTAGGATGACAGTATGTTTAAAAAAAAAACAATAAATAATAAAAAATAATGTAAAACATCTTTTTGAAAAATTATAATTTTTGGTTATAAACTAATTTGGGTTATTTTTTTTTTTCTACTAAAATTTGGCCAAAATGTGTTTTTTTTGCTGGCCAAATTTTATGAAGAAAGATTATTTATTGCAAAATTTTATAAGAAAAAAACACTTTTTTTTTTCAAAATGTTTGGACTTTTTAATTTATATAGCAAAAAAAAAATAAAAATCCCAGTGGTGAATAAATACCACCAAAATAAAGTTTTATCTGTCTCAAAAAAATGCTAAAAAATTCATATGGGTACAGTGTTGCATGACCGCGCAATTGTCATTCAGTTCAAGTGTGACAGCGCTGAAAGCTGAAAATTGTCCTGGACTGGAAGGGGGGGAAAGTGTCCGGACTGGAAGTGGTTACAGAGAATCTGTTCTCCAAGAAATCCACTCACACATGAAAAAAAAAAAAAAGTTAAGTAAAAAAAAAAAATGTTTTGAAATTGTATAACATTAAAGTCACACCCAAGCATTTAAAATCCCTCTAGAAAATTACACACACAACACTACATTTGTACGTATGTATGTATAACACATGTGTTGGAGGCGCCTACGCATGCACATGTTGATTGCAATACACGTTACATATCACCACACATGCTGGAGAGAGCGCAGTATTTCTAGCACCCAGACCCCTCTGTTACGCCAAACTGATGACTTACAGGGAGCTTTTAAAGCATCGCCCATGGCAAAAAAAATATAGGGTACTGAAGTTTGTCGCCATTTCACAGGCGCACACAAATTTAACCGCCTCCCGCCCGCAATATAAGGTAATGACGGACACAGCGGATCACCGATCAACGGACAGAGCTGAAGAATGTCGGCTCGGTCATGTGATCAGCTGTGTCCAATCACAGCTGATCACATGTAAACAGGGAAATGCCAGTTATCGGCATTTCTCTCCTCATGAGATGTCACGCTGACAGAGGAGAGGAGAGCTGGTAATCGGCATTACTCAGAGGGGACATGTACACTGAACATCAGGGCACTGATGATCTGTGTGCCCTGATGATCTGTGTAGCCCCCAGAATTGCCACCTGTCAGTGTCCATCAGTGCCAGCTGTCAGTGCTCATCAATGCCACCTGCCAGTACCCATCAGTGCTACATCAGTGCCACATATCAGTGCCTACCAGTGCACATGAATGCCACATATCAGTGCCCATCTAAGCTGCCTTTCAGTGTTACCTGTCAGTGCCACCTATCAATGCCAGTCAGTGCTACCTATCAGTGCTGCCAGTCAGTGCCCTATATGGAGTGCTGTCTTTCAGTGCCCATCAGTGGATGCTTGTCAGTGCCACCTACCAGTGCCCCTCCTCATCAGTGCCACCTATCAGTGTCCATCAGTGGTTTTTGGTTTGTTTAGCAAAAAATAAAAAAAACCCAGAGGTGCTTAAATACCACCAAAAGAAAGCTCTGTCTCAAAAAATGATAAAAATTTCATATGAGTACAGTGTTGCATGACCGCGCAATTGTCATTCAAAGTGTTGACAGCGCTGAGAGCTGAAAAATGGCCTGGGCAGGAAGGGGGTATAAGTGCCCTGTAGGCAGGAAGGGGGTAGAAAGTGCCCTGTAGGCAGGAAGGGGGTAGAAGTGCCCTGTAGGCAGGAAGGGGGGGTAGAAGTGCCCTGTAGGCAGGAAGGGGGTAGAAGTGCCCTGTAGGCGAGGGGTTTAAAAAT